CTGTGGATTACCACTCATCACCCTGCCATCTGAGCACTATCACCTGTGGATTACCACTCATCACCCTGCCATCTGAGCGCTGTCGCCTGTGGATTACCGCTCATCACCCTGCCATCTGAGCACTATCACCTGTGGATTACCACTCATCACCCTGCCATCTGAGCCCTATCACCTGTGGATTACCACTCATCACCCTGCCATCTGAGCACTATCACCTGTGGATTACCACCCGTCACCCTGCCATCTGAGCACTATCACCTGTGGATTACCACTCATCACCCTGCCATCTGAGCACTGTCACCTGTGGATTACCACTCGTCACCCTGCCATCTGAGCACTGTAACCTGTGGATTACCACTCATCACCCTGCCATCTGAGCACTATCACCTATGGATTACCACTCATCACCCTGCCATCTGAGCACTATCACCTGTGGATTACCACTCATCACCCTGCCATCTGAGCGCTGTCGCCTGTGGATTACCGCTCATCACCCTGCCATCTGAGCACTATCACCTGTGGATTACCACTCGTCACCCTGCCATCTGAGCACTATCACCTATGGATTACCACTCGTCACCCTGCCATCTGAGCACTATCACCTGTGGATTACCACTCGTCACCCTGCCATCTGAGCACTATCACCTGTGGATTACCACTCGTCACCCTGCCATCTGAGCACTATCACCTATGGATTACCACTCATCACCCTGCCATCTGAGCACTATCACCTGTGGATTACCACTCGTCACCCTGCCATCTGAGCACTATCACCTGTGGATTACCACTCGTCACCCTGCCATCTGAGCACTGTCACCTGTGGATTACCACTCGTCACCCTGCCATCTGAGCACTGTCACCTGTGGATTACCACTCATCACCCTGCCATCTGAGCGCTGTCGCCTGTGGATTACCACTCGTCACCCTGCCATCTGAGCACTGTCACCTGTGGATTACCACTCGTCACCCTGCCATCTGAGCACTGTCACCTGTGGATTACCACTCGTCACCCTGCCATCTGAGCACTATCACCTGTGGATTACCACTCGTCACCCTGTCATCTGAGCACTGTCACCTGTGGATTACCACTCATCACCCTGCCATCTGAGCACTGTCACCTGTGGATTACCACTCGTCACCCTGCCATCTGAGCACTATCACCTGTGGATTACCACTCATCACCCTGCCATCTGAGCACTGTCACCTGTGGATTACCACTCGTCACCCTGCCATCTGAGCACTGTCACCTGTGGATTACCGCTCGTCACCCTGCCATCTGAGCACTGTCACCTGTGGATTACCACTCGTCACCCTGCCATCTGAGCACTATCACCTGTGGATTACCACTCATCACCCTGCCATCTGAGCACTATCACCTGTGGATTACCACTCGTCACCCTGCCATCTGAGCACTATCACCTGTGGATTACCACCCATCACCCTGCCATCTGAGCACTATCACCTGTGGATTACCACTCATCACCCTGCCATCTGAGCACTATCACCTGTGGATTACCACTCATCACCCTGCCATCTGAGCACTGTCACCTGTGGATTACCACTCATCACCCTGCCATCTGAGCACTGTCACCTGTGGATTACCACTCATCACCCTGCCATCTGAGCACTATCACCTGTGGATTACCACTCATCACCCTGCCATCTGAGCACTATCACCTGTGGATTACCGCTCATCACCCTGCCATCTGAGCACTGTCACCTGTGGATTACCACTCATCACCCTGCCATCTGAGCACTGTCACCTGTGGATTACCGCTCATCACCCTGCCATCTGAGCACTATCACCTGTGGATTACCACTCATCACCCTGCCATCTGAGCACTGTCACCTGTGGATTACCACTCGTCACCCTGCCATCTGAGCACTGTCGCCTGTGGATTACCGCTCATCACCCTGCCATCTGAGCACTGTCACCTGTGGATTACCACTCATCACCCTGCCATCTGAGCACTATCACCTGTGGATTACCACTCGTCACCCTGCCATCTGAGCACTATCACCTGTGGATTACCACTCGTCACCCTGCCATCTGAGCACTATCACCTGTGGATTACCACTCATCACCCTGCCATCTGAGCACTGTCACCTGTGGATTACCACTCGTCACCCTGCCATCTGAGCACTATCACCTGTGGATTACCACTCGTCACCCTGCCATCTGAGCACTATCACCTGTGGATTACCACTCATCACCCTGCCATCTGAGCACTATCACCTGTGGATTACCGCTCATCACCCTGCCATCTGAGCACTGTCACCTGTGCATTACCACTCATCACCCTGCCATCTGAGCACTGTCACCTGTGGATTACCGCTCATCACCCTGCCATCTGAGCACTATCACCTGTGGATTACCACTCATCACCCTGCCATCTGAGCACTATCACCTGTGGATTACCACTCATCACCCTGCCATCTGAGCACTGTCACCTGTGGATTACCACTCGTCACCCTGCCATCTGAGCACTGTCACCTGTGCATCACCACTCATCACCCTGCCATCTGAGCACTGTCACCTGTGGATTACCGCTCATCACCCTGCCATCTGAGCACTATCACCTGTGGATTACCGCTCATCACCCTGCCATCTGAGCACTATCACCTGTGGATTACCACTCATCACCCTGCCATCTGAGCACTGTCACCTGTGGATTACCACTCATCACCCTGCCATCTGAGCACTGTCACCTGTGGATTACCACTCGTCACCCTGCCATCTGAGCACTGTCACCTGTGGATTACCACTCATCACCCTGCCATCTGAGCACTGTCACCTGTGCATTACCACTCATCACCCTGCCATCTGAGCACTGTCACCTGTGGATTACCACTCATCACCCTGCCATCTGAGCACTGTCACCTGTGGATTACCACTCGTCACCCTGCCATCTGAGCACTGTCACCTGTGGATTACCACTCATCACCCTGCCATCTGAGCACTGTCACCTGTGGATTACCACTCATCACCCTGCCATCTGAGCACTGTCACCTGTGGATTACCACTCATCACCCTGCCATCTGAGCACTGTCACCTGTGCATTACCACTCATCACCCTGCCATCTGAGCACTGTCACCTGTGGATTACCACTCATCACCCTGACATCTGAGCACTGTCACCTGTGGATTACCACTCGTCACCCTGCCATCTGAGCACTGTCACCTGTGGATTACCACTCATCACCCTGCCATCTGAGCACTATCACCTGTGGATTACCGCTCATCACCCTGCCATCTGAGCACTATCACCTGTGGATTACCACTCATCACCCAGCCATCTGAGCACTGTCACCTGTGGATTACCGCTCATCACCCTGCCATCTGAGCACTGTCACCTGTGGATTACCACTCGTCACCCTGCCATCTGAGCACTGTCACCTGTGGATTACCGCTCATCACCCTGCCATCTGAGCACTATCACCTGTGGATTACCACTCATCACCCTGCCATCTGAGCACTATCACCTGTGGATTACCACTCGTCACCCTGCCATCTGAGCACTATCACCTGTGGATTACCACTCGTCACCCTGCCATCTGAGCACTGTCACCTGTGGATTACCACTCATCACCCTGCCATCTGAGCACTGTCACCTGTGGATTACCACTCATCACCCTGCCATCTGAGCACTATCACCTGTGGATTACCGCTCATCACCCTGCCATCTGAGCACTATCACCTGTGGATTACCACTCATCACCCTGCCATCTGAGCACTATCACCTGTGGATTACCACTCATCACCCTGCCATCTGAGCACTATCACCTGTGGATTACCACTCATCACCCTGCCATCTGAGCACTATCACCTGTAGATTACCGCTCATCACCCTGCCATCTGAGCACTGTCACCTGTGGATTACCACTCGTCACCCTGCCATCTGAGCACTGTCACCTGTGGATTACCACTCGTCACCCTGCCATCTGAGCACTATCACCTGTGGATTACCACTCATCACCCTGCCATCTGAGCACTATCACCCGTGGGTTACCACTCGTCACCCTGCCATCTGAGCACTGTCACCTGTGGATTACCACTCATCACCCTGCCATCTGAGCACTGTCACCTGTGGATTACCACTCATCACCCTGCCATCTGAGCACTGTCACCTGTGGATTACCACTCATCACCCTGCCATCTGAGCACTGTCACCTGTGGATTACCACTCATCACCCTGCCATCTGAGCACTGTCACCTGTGGATTACCACTCATCACCCTGGTCTCCGCTGCTGTCGTGCTCCCATTGCAGGCTTGTGACATCTTGCCATGTTCCGTGTTCTTCGATTTCTATTCTCATCCTTTTCCTACTCATGACACACGGGGAATTCGTTGTATTTTTTTCATTTTCATAGCTTGCCTTTTTCATCACGTGTTTTGTCTGGTTCCTGATAGCTTGCTCTTGGTTTGCTTTTTTTCTTGCTTGCTACGATGTATTTATTTTGTACTCTTATAGTTTTCTGGAGGTGTCACTAAATATATAAATCATCTCCTTGCTGCTGTAAAAGTAAACATTTTCTAGACTGAAGTTAAAATTTAAATAATTAATCATCGGGTGCGAGCTCGTCTACTCAATAATTCAGAGAGAAAACTAAAATTCGCTTCAATCTTCCCTGCTTGAGAATTTGGCTCGTCATCGAACAAAGAAAGAAACCGCATCACGTGCTTTCAGATGCGCTCCTGTGGCCGTCTGGAATGCTCTTCCTTCCAATATTAGGAAGCCACTGGAGCTATGCACTTTTAAAATCTATATTGAAAACTCATTTGTTTAGAACTGCTTTTTGTGTTTGCCTTTCCCCCCCACCCCCACACCTCCGATTAGCATGGTTGGCTGTGTACGGTGCAAAAGAAGTGCAGCATGCACACGTACATTAGATATATTCTGTCAGCGCTTTCAGATACTTTCAATACACAAATTCAGCATCACCCGGCTTCTCGAGACTTGCTCAAGCAAGCGGTAGACGACGATTCGGAAACCATTACCTCTCTGAGTTTGATCAGCTTGTGCTGCTTGATGGACAGTAACGGGCCGTCATTTAGCCCGTTGGTGGCTTGCGAGTCTCCGTTCGAGGACGACACCGAACTCTCGGGGAACTTGAAGGTAACGGAGTTGCTCTTGAGCAAAGGCTTGTGCTGCCGGGGGCTGCTGGACGGCTTCAGGTTCCCCGGCGTGGGCGGATCGGCCGTCAGCTGCTTGGCGCCCTGGGCGGCCGACTCGCGGGCCCTCCCCGCGGCCGTGGAGCCGGGGCCACCATCGGGGCCGCCATCTGCGGGACCCTGGCCGGCGCCGCCTCCCACGCGAGCGGCGGTTTGAGGGGCCGCGTCCTCGCCGGGGCACCTTGGCTGCGCCGAGGGGCCGGGGCCGGGCGACTTATCTGCTGCCAGGGAAGGCTCCACGTTTGCTGTTGCATGAGGCACGTTGCCTTCCTTGTCGCCTCCCTGGAAGACAACAAGACACGGTGGCTCGGAGATGTTAACTACCTCGCCTGGTGTGCAGGAGGTCGTGGGTTCGTTCCCGACCCCTGACGCCTGCTTCTGTATATTTGGAGTTTGCGTGTCTCTCATCATCATCACGGTGGCTAGGAGATGTTAACTACCTCGCCTGGTGTGCAGGAGGTCGTGGGTTCGATTCCAACCCCGATGACACCTGTATTTTGAAATTTGCATATTCTCCCCGTGGTCATGTGGATGTTTGTCCTTTCCCTCCACGTGATAAGCCACTTTGTTAGGCTGTCATTTGTGGCCTGGTCGTTTCTGAAAAAGAGCTGTATAGCTCAGTGGGCCTTACCTGGTAAAATAAAAAATAGTAAAAAAAATCCCCCATATAGCCTCAGATGACTTTTGGGGCAAGTGCTGTAAGCAAGCACCCATGAAGGCCGGCACGACACACGAGGGGCTGGGTGGCCAGCACCACGTTCAACCGCCTTCGACTACCCAACGGTGATGTTTACATATCACACCAGGTACTCTTTTGAGGCTGAGTCGACCTAGAGTGCCTATAAGACAAGACACACACGTGACGTCGAACGATAAGGATCACGGTGAGAGATTCGTTCTCGCCCAGAGTTTATTTTTCTGCTCAAAATAAACCCTACGGAATGTCATCATCAAGGGTTGCATATATAAGCACAGCCATTAACAGCAAGACCTCGTGCGCTTACATCCGCTGAAGTGTGCTTGTATCAGAAGTTGCCTTTCACCATCCCGCTACCAGTGGAATGTTAAGAATGTGTTGCTTTTATCAGAACTACACTTATGTATCGTCTGCTTATAAACAGCTTCTACTAGACTTGTTACAACACTCCTTTCTTGAACTTTTGTCACGACTCAACAATGGTCGAATGTGTCGTAGAGCCCTGATATAAAAATGGCACGACCTGACTATAGTTTGCACGTGGTAATCAAACGACATATTCTGGTAGCGTATGGTGCTGAGGCTCTTTAGATGAGTAGGGTACTGAATCCTAGAGTCTGCGACCGCCACACCTGATCCTCCCACACATTGTTTTGTCTGAGCCCGAGTGCCCACCAGCAGAACCTCCGCTTTTTAAATCCTTTATATTAAGTTCGCTTGCTTGCTTAGGACCGTGCAAATCTTTCGGTCGTTTTTTACCCACTTCCCGTGATCCAATCGAGCTGACATTTTGCACACAGGCTCGTTGTGCGTGACAATGCATTTTCGTGAGAAAATTTCCAAAATTTTACACTGTTTAGGGAAATTTTTTTAAATATTTAATTACCAATTGTTTAATGCTGCCAGACAATCATCTGACCCATAGATGGCAGCCATCTCAAGCCAGAGGACGAGAGGACTCTAGCCGCCCCGATGCCACGCATATAAAGGATTTATAGTGAAAAACTTTGTTTTTACGGGTTAATTTTTTCTGGATTAAGCGGCATCTCGTTTGTGCAAACGACACGTGATGCGACGCGCGCGCTCTCATTAGCCGAGCGGGCGCGTGACATCACACCCGCCGCCGCGAGGCGCTCGGCATCCCAACGTGCCGTCAGGCGAGAGCGCGCTGACGTCAGCCTTGTCGTAGACTCGCCACGGCGGGGGGCTCCGGCTCGCTCGCGCCTCACTCTCTCGCCTGCTCGTGCTTTCCGGGCTCCGCTAACACTGGTCAACAAAAAAAAAATTCTGGCCTGGACTTTTGCAGCTGTTTTAGACTAATTTTAGGGCGCTGATTCCAAATCTGATCTCAGATTTGCTCTATCACATTTCATTTTATGCTATCGACATACCCCATTTTCATTGATTTTACCCGAAATTAACTCTGTCACTTATGATTGTAAGTTGTTGCGAGTCAGTGACCGCTTTAGTGTTAAAATATGGTGCTGTATTTTTAGGATAGTGTGTTTATAATATCATTTTATGTAGATATCCACATTTATTCAATATTTTTCTTCTGCAGTTTTTATTGAAAATGCAATATTTGGTATCTCAAAAGCCTGATGTGATAGACAAAAACTGAATCAGCACCCCAAAATTACCTTAAAACCGTTGGAATACCTTATGCCAGAAAAAGTGTGTTGACCAGTGTAATCGCACCATATAATCATTCCATTGCATCCCAGTGTGTTTACATCACCGACTTTGCGTCAATCAAATTAACTGGCAGGCAAATAATTTCACGTGGTTCGATGTGGTTTCCGATGAGGATGCGGTGATGAATGCGTGTCGGAGGTTCCTACGTATTCTGCACGATTATTTTATTGGGGGAAAAATCGACCTAAGTGGGTCCTAGTTCGACACAAAATGTTTATTGTGTTAAGTGTCATATCGGATTGCATTAAACTCGGACCCATTGCTAGCAGAGCACGACCTTCCTTTACACATCTGGCAGGTCACCGGCATCGATTTGAGCAATTCTGACTTTGCTCATGAGACAATGAATATCAAAGCTGGCCCAGAGTTCGCTTGTCGTGAATCTACGCTGCTTACAAAAAAAATCACTCCCAGAAGTCTGTGCAGCTGACGCGATGAAAGAAAAACGACAAATGTTTTAATGCCAAGAGATAAATACGGGAAAGGGCGTTGCGTCTGCTTATTTTGTTACTTGTGTTTTCCACAGTGACGCTTAATGATCATTATATGTTTGGACAGATGTTCTGCTTGTGTACTCAGGTGGGATTCTACGTACGAAGTGGAAATTTTTCACTGCGATCCCACACGGCTCTATATTGGGGCCCGTATTGTTTATTTTGCATCTTATTTAAAGACGGAAAATGACTCCAAACTTTTCAAACCTGCACTCTGACCAAGATTGTACACTCACAAACATCCTTTACTGATCAGCTTCTTCGATCCCACAACCAATAGGCATGAACATTTAGCGCTTCACAAATTGCTTTAGCCAGATGCTTACAGCAAACGATCTTCTCACGCCTTTGTAATAATTCACACGTGCATCAAAGCACAGTGTTCGCTCACTGTCTCAGAGAACGACTCACACGTGAGGAACCACAGATAAGCGGGAAGGCAGCCATGCAGTGAGCCGTGCCAATAACTGCCCGAACTCTGCGGGCCTCTATATATGAAGGTGTTATCGGTGAATTCGTATGCGTACATCGTCGGAACCGAATCGGAAGTGAAAGAGCACGTGGGAGGGCGTGTGGCACAGTTTTGCGCCAGCTATCATAAAGTGCGGCGGTCGTGTCGCTACGTTTCTCTGCGGTGAGTCCCATGTCTTTAAAAAAACAACAGCGCTACACCTCTCTAATATAAAATGATAGCTGAACCGCTTGCGCGTTCCGAGATTGAGCAGTAAACGGGACACCCACACCCTGAGTATTTATACATGCGGGAATGAAACCGGAGCACCCGGAAAAAACCCCATGCTTGCGAGGGAGAAACACTCTATTCCATACGGATGAAAGTGGCGGAGTCCACATTTCGACTGTATTGTCTTCTCCTGGCAAGCCAGGGTATAGCTCCTGACTCACAAGTCGATATTAAACTACTGTTGGGAACAAAATTAAGAAGCAACACCTAACGCCTCCTTCACGCATCTGTCCGTCCACATAAAACAAAATATTTGTTTATACATCCAATCAGTCACAATGCATTCTGGGAATGCATACTTTTCATCAGCAATTGGTTAAATGCAAGGGCAAAACTCTGGACCGGTTTTCACATTTGGTGTCTCATCAGCAGTCAAGCTCGTCCAAAACCAATGCCGGTAAATTACCACGTCCATAGGCAAGGACGCCCCTCTTAAAGATACGAGGGTCCTATTTTGACGCAACATTATATATCACCAAATCAATGGACTATTTTCACGATTTGCTATGATCAACCACACGGTGGATCAAGAGGTGTGAGGCTGTCACGTGTGAAGCAGCCGCCTGCTGCAGGGCAGTGGAGCCGCCTTTAGGGGGCAGCAGAGGCGGCAGGGTTCTGCAACGAAGCTCCCCGCGGGCAAAGTTTCAGTGTTCATCGCCCTCAAGTTCCTGGGACTTGCTTCCTCTCACACGCAAACGTACTCGAAATAAGAAGCAGAATAATAATAATATTCTTAGGTTTTTTTCGGTAAAGTCACGTAACTTTACCGAAAAAAAACCTAAAAAAAACCTAAGAATATGAATCCTTGCAGTCACGAAAGCTTCAAATCCAGAAATAATAAGCCAAGCATCCCAAAGAGGACCTTCATATTGAAGGATGATCATCTTAAATACAATTGCAGAGTAAAATAATATTAAATTAGTTTTTAACTATAACTAAAAACGATTCTATTTTACCAGGTAGAGCCCACTGAGCTATTAGATATGTTTTTCTGAGGCTACCCGGCCACACACATCATCATCACACGTGGGAATAGTCGCAGCCAAATAGTCTGAATACACGTTTCTAAATGTTGAGGGGACAAAACCGGCGAAAAATCCACGCAACCGCCACGGGGAGAAAAAGAAAACGCAGACTCCAAATATATAACAGGCACCATCAGGTTCTGGGGTCGAACCCACGAACTCCGTGCGTAGCAGTCGAGGGAGATAACCTGTCCGTGCCACCGCGGCGAGATGTTATAAACATTGAGATAATTAGCCCACACATAGGAGCAATTCAGTAAAATTCTGATACCGTATATTGAACTCGTATTTTACTTTAATTAGTTTTGTTCATGCAGTTATTTGCACATTTTGATACGAAGAGCGGGTGCGCTGCTCACTGGACTTGCGATCTCCCGGCGTAGCAATTGAACCAACGGTGCAAGTTTCATAAATCCGCCCCCGTTGCCATCTCTGTCCACCCGGCAGTACATCGTGCTCTATATATGTACACACCATATATAGAGTTGGTGGGTAGGTCGCGTGTGGAGGGGTAAAGTGTAGGTACTCCCTTCTTCCGATTAAGATGTCTGGCCACCGTGGAAGAGGAGGCCAAATACCCTCCAGAAGGGGCTTTCCGGTGCAAGCAATTACAAGGCTGCAGTTTCAGG